ACTTCGGAGAGTGTGCCCATGAGCTCCACCAGCTCATTCCATCCGCCCCCTTTTACCATCGGACATCTAGACGAACGGCGGGATATCACCCTCACCTGGTTGATATTCCTTTAAGACGTACTAAGCGCTTTTCGTCATCTTTTATAATGCGCACAGCCCGTGACTGGAATTCCCTGCCTGCGTCTATTTTTCCGAGTACATACAACCCGAATATTTTCAAGGTGCGATTGAATAGGCATCTTCTGGGCGAGCTCGTACCAACGTAGACCTCATCTTTGCTCTAGGGCTAGGTAGTGGTCAAGAGTACGTCCATTTTTAATAAAAAAAAAAAAAAAAAATTTAATATCGGCAAAGAGTACCTTGTTATGTAGTTTAAAATATCGGTAATCATTCGACTCGAGTCGAATGGTTGTGCTTGGATTCGGCTTAGGCGAATGATTTGCCCATTCGAATGATTAGTATTATTAACACGTTTTTATTATGATATTTTCATTCGTCGTTAGCGAGAGGTATTGTTACTAAATATTAACAAAAGTAATTAAATTAGAAACTACAGTCATAGGGATGAAAGCATTTTGTAGTTCTCTCAAAATACTCTAGATGGCATTGACCCATTTTATGCAAATACTAAGCGGTGTTAATATTTTCCCTCGAATGGTGTTTATTCCACCGAATATCGTTTTGTAGTAGACATATTAACGTAGCTTTTAAATGAACTTCTTCGTATTTTATCCTAGACGGAAGCTATCGGATAACTTGTTTTGTACTATGATATTAAGTGTTACTCATTACATGCATCTACCGCTCTCGTCTTTCTGGAAAATAATTCGTGGAATTTTATATGACATTTGAAAATGTACCACATAATACAACTAAAAAAGTCTTGAATGGATTAACTACGTCATTTAAAACCTCCGCATCCTTCAGAAATCTATTCCATTCAAAATATCACCCGACCATAATGTATGAAACAGCTGATTTGTGTTGTAGCATTAATGGTTTTTTTACGATATCAAGTGACGGGACGAACAAGTCGTGCGCCTGGCGCCCATAACAGTTAGACGTACTTACAAGTGACCCCGCGCCGGCTCAGGCGGCACTCTTCCCAGGGCGCGTGGCGTGCCCGTGAAACCACGGGCCATGGGAAGACAGACTTTTAAGTCGCAGTTATCAAGAAGAAGCGTTCTGTCGTATATCATAATCCTATACGTTTTCGCTTATGAAATACTGACTGAAAAATACTCTTTCCAAAACGTAATTCTAGAAATTTTGAAACTCTAAAACAAATGCCTTGCATCTTAAAGTTTCACTCGAGGCACATTAAACTGACGCCGACCACGTTGTAACCTAGTTACTGTTGCGTAATACGGAAGGCAGATGAGAATAAGTTCTATGTATCGTAACCACGTAACTAGAGCTGTGATAGCCTAGTAACTATTCATTGAGAAATCGATGGTTCGAATCCTTTTAACATCACGTACCTGTGGCATTAATTTTTATAACGAATGTTTAGTACAAATATCTCGTTGACAGTAAAGGTAAGTAAACTGCTCAAACTTGCTCAAAAATGTGTTAAACCCTACCCCTATGGTCTACATCCTCTGTTTATAGAAGTGGCATATACAGTACTGCGACATGTAGTAGGTTAATGATGATGGTGCTGTAATACAAACAAAACATGTATTTAAAATATTAAAGCTAAAGTTAAAAAACTAGATATTTTTGATTAGAAAGTGATCATTATTGATATTAGAAGTTGCACAAGCAGGAAGGTAAACATAGCGAGCTCCAGAAATAGCAACCCTACGTGTCGCATCGGGCGGCTCTGCCAACTAAATATACAAGTTTGAGATGTGCTAATGGAGAAGACGTGGCAATTATTACGTTTTAAATATCAAATGTTCAAATCTGCACGGAATACGCTACAGGCATCTACGTAAACCGAAAACTTCAATTTACGATTATTTAAGACTAAAGTGAATAGCCATTTTGTAGACAAACATGTGCTGTCGTCGATTACGTCGTCGCTTGACATCAGGTGAGTTATGGCCAATAAAAAAAAAAAGCATGTGTCTACTTTATATATAACAACCAAGTCGGAGAACTTCTCACAAGACTTCAAAGAGGTGTTGAAGTACCAATTTGCATTGGACCAGGATCGTGGACTGTGATCTAAATCCTCACCTTAAAAGAAACCGACCTTCGCCTTAGAAGTTGCGGCTCGGAACAGTTATATGTGTGAGGTTTCGTAGTAGACATGGAAATGAGACTCCAGTGATTGTTGTAAATTGTAAGACCTTTTCACTATAAATCCAAACAATACGTCTTTTCTACTCAAAGATGTTTTTCATAATGGCGGCCATCTGCGATCAGAGATCTGTTGATACAATTATCATGTTATAGATTTATTTCTTATTTCTATGAAACTAATTCTTAATGAAGCCAAGGTTTTTTTTGTCGAGTTCTTAGGTTTTCGCGATTGTTACATAGGAAATTAAAATATTTTTCCGAATTTAAATCGCGTATATTTGTTTTTTCAAACAAACCAACGTTTAGGGCTCTTTACAGGTCTCATGGTCACGGTTGAATAAACAAATATACGCGATTTAAATCCGGAAAAATATTTTCATTTCCAAAGTAATTTTTTTAACAAAATAAAATAAATTAATGTTACGATTCGCTGACATTTGAACCAAGCTGCAAGATTTGGAAGGTGTGTGGTTTTTCTGCGACCAAGTCTTCTGCGGCCCTGGATTTTTTTTGTTTATCATGTTTCTTTTTTAAATAGCTTAAATGACCCACACACTCAGAGCCCCGCACTAGGAAACCCTATAACGCGGGTGCCATAGACACACACACATAGAACACCATAAATTACACGCAAACTCACGAGCTAAATAAATGCAAGCCATACAAATATTTCTCCCGGCCCGGGAATTGAACCCGGGACCTCTGCGAGGCAGTTTATAAGTAATATTAATACCATAATAATTGGTTATATATATATATTATATTTGAAATAATGTTGTTAATTATGAATGTGAACAAAAGTCTATTTACAAAGACCAACCCCTACAGTTTCTTACTTACTTATCACGGGGTAATCAGCTTTAAGAATGAGTATTTCAAGTGTTATTTGCTTCTCTATGAAATAACGATTTTTTAAATTCGATTCTGTTAAATTCCTAAATCTATTTTATATAACAAGTCTTTATAAACTAAAAACACATAATATACAGCATCAAACAGCTTTATACCGCGTCCAAATGTAAGTATCCGACATCCAAGTACCGTACGCATTTGTCCCATTCGCGCCCAGTCTCTCGATGCTGCAGAGCGTGTTGTGCTGCCGGAAGGTCCCTAATTTTCTAACGTCATCCTTTAGCGTCATTGTCATTATCATTTTCATTGTGAAATTAACTTTTTGTTGTAGTGGTTTTGTGTATGTGAATAGTGAATAATGTGGTTGAAGTTTTGGCAAATAATGTGGAGTTCTTGTGTTATGGCATTGTGTTTAGGGCTATAGGTAGTTAGGACAGTGTTTGTGGAAATTATGGTTATAATTGACTAAATAGTTAAACTCGACTCGTATTTATCTACCTTAGTTTTATTTCTCCAACTAAGTAAAAAGTTTCTTTGCCACTGATGGACATAGGCACATAAGTATTTAGGCATCTTATTGCTTAACAAAAGCATCATATGAAACGGTGTTTTATGGTGGCACTTTACATGACAATTTGTATTTGCGTATTTGGTATATTTGGCAAACAATCACCGTGTGTATATAGCATGCGTGATAAAGTATTTGCCTTGTTTGCTTATTCGACAAATATAGCAAACACCAAACTCGCGTTACTGCGCGCTTGTCGGTTTCTCGATGAAATTTTACTTTCGTCCTATAAAAGTAAATAATTAGGTAGATCTTTCTATACGGTGATAACTCTGTGCGGTAGCGAAATAAAGCACTAGCTCAATTACCAGACGCTTGCACGTTTGAACGACCAAATGCAGATCTAAAAATAATACAACAAAAATTTAAAAGTTTATTTTTGATAAATTTATTATGTTTTGTGAAAAGTGACAGAACTAAAATTGTTGTTTATGACGTTAATAACATAATGCTGCCAGGTTGTTAGTATGTTACATATAATCCGGTATATCAGCTTTTCTTCTTTTACATTTATTTCCACCTTTCGGTATACAGATATAAAGTCTACGGCATTTTTATGCCCGCCTATGTCAACCAGGACACTGTCGTATCGACCTGTATGTTCCATTATTACTGGGTGCGGTTCACCACTAGGGAGTGTCACAATGTCTACGTTAACTCAATGAATTTGAAATAGGCTTTTTTTAAATGTTAATTATGAGTTGGTAAAAAGTAATGGGCCATTACAGCCAGTGTCCAAACCGTAAACAATTGGGGCCATAAAGGGATATAGTTTGATACATTACTGAAGAAAATGTTGCATAAATATTTAATGGAAAGTGTGTAATGTCACAGTGTAATGTGGCAGCAGTTTAGGAAAGTTTTCGGTATGGGCCTCCCAGATCTATCGGTGAGTAGCCAACGCCATTTCTGTTTACATTTTATATTATTGTTTGTTTCTACACCAAAAGTTCAGAACACGCCATCTTTAAAGAGGTATAGAATTAATAAATATATTATTATTATATATTAAACTTTAAAAATGACTAAGAACAGTAATTAACGGCCTTATTAGTAAGTAGCAATATCTTCATAGATAATACATTATTTGAATACCACAAATAACACTGCAAAAGGAAAGGAAAAACAAAACAACATTACAAACAAAGTCGAAAAATTCAAACTTAGACAGAAATAAATATTTACATAACAAAATCACGAACAAAAGAAAAATAACTTTCAATGTTATTTTTATAAACAAAGACACTAAGTAAAACTGTACTTTGTGTGGTGCCAGCGCAGCCATGAAACAAAATGGTCACTAACTCAGTAATTGCTGGGAAACGCAATATATGTTCATCTAATTCAATAGCAGTAGAGCTCCTTGTGAAAGAGTTCCTCCAGGAAAGTGCTGCCACATTATCTATTTCTGTCGCCAAGCATGTCAGCATTACTGTGTTCCGATTTTGAAGGGTGCTGGTGAAATTACAGGCGCATGGGACTTGTCAACTTACGTCAGGCGTGTAGCTTACCATCAGGCGCACGACTTGTTTGTCCCGTCACTTGATATTATATAAAAATCTTCCAGCACTGATTTTCAAGTGCTGGAAACGCGTTGCGTTTAGTCTGTTTGTTTTTATTTGTATTTGTGTAGTGAATTTTGTTGCTGCTACAAGAGTTTGCGTTGCATATTGGCCTTTTTCATCACCCCATCATACAGTGCACATCGTCCACGTCACCCATTGTGTATAACACATTTCACAACACAATAACACAAATGTAATGTATTCAATAACCTGGTTTTAATCACTTAAACGTTTATTACTTTTACATTTTACTTATCATATCACATCATGTAGCATTACATGCGTATAATTATATCTTTTAATATTTCGGTACCTCCAATGAACACTACGTCATCTTAATTTTTGGTTACTTTCTGTCAAACAGCCTTATATTTAGGAAATGAAACTATTTTTGTTTACAACATTTCGGGCCCTATACATGTCCCATGGTCAGACCTGTAAAGGGCCCGAAACGTTGGTTTCTTTGAAAACAAATATAGGCGATAAATCCGAAAAATGGTTTAATTTCCCATGTGTAACAATCACGAAAACCTAAGCACTCTATAGCCTTATATTTATTTACTAATATTATACTCCCTGAATTTTATAAAAAAAAATTAAGACCAAAAAACAAAATAAAAACAGAAAATGACCAAAAATTTACTTGGCTTAGTGTTCATTGGAGGTAGCGATTTGTTCTATCGAAAATCAGGTATAGAACACGAGTCCGTGCTATCTCAACCTTTTTATAACACCTCCGATTGAGATGGCTTCACTATCGCCATACGCACGAAAATATGTTTCTTGTACCTAAGCTTCAGCTGCAATCTTTTATCTAATTTTTAACTAATAATTCAATATAAATAATGTATGTAAATTATAATTACAAATTAACAGTAAAAACGAAACTTACTACTAAATACACAATCGACGAGAGCACTTTTTATAATTCGGCATAAAACATGTGAGTTATTGATTATTAAAATACAAACGTTATTAATATACCTGTTTTTAAACATTCATAACACAAACACGACTCTAAATATTCAGCAATTGGCCTCCAATGCCAGAGATTTATGCCAATTGTACATTGATTCAATGTCACACGTGACTGACTATATTGCTTCCTTTGGATGTTACATCGTTTTACTCCTCTTCAACTAGTGTTTTTGACATTCTTGTTGTAAAACGTACTATTTTACTTAAAAGCGAACCTTCTTCACTATTATTTATTTTACTGACTAGCAATCACTAATATCAAAAACTTTTATGACTAATTTAAAAGAAGTAATATTACAATATTAATTAGTAGGTTAAAATGAACGACATTCGTTAAAGTTGTAAACAAAAGTGATTGACTATATTCCATCTGTTTAGGTACTTAAATAAATGTAAACAATCTTGAGATGTCTATTTAATGAAATATACATTTACAAAATGATTTTCCCTTACCTTCAAATACAAAATACAAATACTTAGCTTCATATGAAATTGCATGCCTATTTTTATACCTTTGAAATTGCATACCTATTGATTTGTAAAGCATGTGTTTCAATAAAAAGATGTATCAAGATTGTTTACATTTAGTTAAGTACCTAAACAAATGGACTATAAGAAACTATGTTGTTGAAGTAAAACGCAGCACGTGCGCTGGCCCAGCGCTTCGTGGTCGTTGGATTTGCTGTACCTTCCGTAGAAATATTGGTTCAGCGGCTTCCTAAATAGTGAGATATCTTGTTTGTTATTATATTATTATAGATACAAAGATTACCCCGCGGTTGTTCCGGTATGACAACAGACGCTGGTTCTGGTCAAGTCAGATTGAAGCAGTTTTCCTCTTTGTGTTTGGTCGTACTTTATATCAATAATAAGGTTTAAGGATCTTGGCAGGTCACGACTAACTGACAGTTACAGCCCATAACGTTGCTTGGATTTAGATCCGGAAAAAGTAGTTTAATTTAATGTTAAACAATACATTTATAAATAAATAAAAACAGACCGACAATTGGTCCCCACAGTCATCGATACAGTGTCACTGCATTTTCAATCAAGTTCAATTGAAATCGAGCAACGAATTTAACTGCGATCCGCAAAACCGGGTCAGCGTTAATTTTATCACTCCGACACGGATCTGAACAGTTGAAAAGAGGACTTGAATAGTGCGTTGGCTTAAACTATTTGCTCTCATCAAAATCTGTAGTTGAGTGATAGATAGAGGGCGTCAATAAAAAAATATTTTGGCTAACACGTGGATGAGCCGACGTTGTGGTGTGAAACATGATGTGGTGACTAGGATAGGAAAGGGAAATTGATTTGATCATGTAGAAAGGATGGATATAAGTAGATTGATGCCACAAATTTACGGAGCCAATGTGGACAGAAACGTTGGGAGAGGTAGACCTTTCCTTCAAGCAGTAATGTTAGCATTACTGCTTTCCAGTTTTGAAGGGTAAGGGTGCTGGTGATTCGATACATCTAAAGTCAAAGGTCTAAGTATTGATGGGTAATTCTTACAAAATCTCGAAATTCTTGTCCTTTAGGTTTATTAAAAATGTATTTATTGATTCTTGCCGTAAAATTAATATTTAATAGCAAATTATAATTCAATTAATACTAATGCCTACGTAAAATATTGATTATTCTATTTAAATAAAAAATGTCCCCAAAATCTTTCCCTGACTATGTCCCAAGTTCCATAATTAAACACGTTCTGTGTTATAAATCAACACATTTAACAAAGATAACCTTTCAATTTCAAAGATTCGATCAAATAAAATATGTTTTTGAGAAATTAAAGCTATCAAGTAAAAACACGGTAAGTAAATTATAAAAAACATATATTATTCATGACCCAACCAAAAAAATCATTCCCTCACACTTTTACCTTCACTCGATTTGTGAACGCATTTTTAATCTTCGGTAAATTAATTTGTAAATTTTTAACCGATTGATAAACATTAACATTACATTAAGAAACAAACAAACAAAAAATTAATAATCTAACCTAACCTAACATTTTAAGGTATTGTTTTTGTCTTCAATGAACAATAATTCGATTTCAGTGACAAAATAACCAGAGCGTTAAAATTGTTAAAAGTAACCTATTTTCAATGAAATAAGATACACTTTGAATTTAAACTAAAAATTGTCTGTAAATAAATATCAGATCTCTTAACGGGTCGAATAAATTGAATACATACTCACATTGTATATCGTCACTCACTTCAAAGGAAGTCTTTGATCGGCGTCGGCGCATATAGAAGAACTGGCTGGATTTATGTCAAAGAGTCATTGAACTCAGTTTGTCTTATCTTGTTTATGTCTTCGGACAAACTTTTAAATTCCTTTGTATTGTTTGTATCGTACTGTCCCTCGCAAATACGTGCCACCCTAGCTCCTTCAGGTATCATAGCTCTCTTACGTTAAAAAAAAATTATTTTGGTAAAAGTAATTATAGGTAAAATAAATTTATTCGCTGTGCTGACTTCCCTGAGAAGAACGAGCAATAAACTGTCCGGGTTGCTCCTTTCAAATAAACTTAAACGATATGGAATACACTTTGAATCAAATGTGTGTGGAATCTAGACTCATATCGTCTTTCCAAACATCTTTATCTAACGAGTAACCTTCAATTTTGTACTATGACTTTTCAATTAAAATACTTTTAATGTAGGTTTTAAACTTAGAAAATGATAATCTTAATATGTCTGCTTCGGAATTCTATTGTAGAAATGTATATAGGTCCCCGTAAAAGAAATTAAACATCAAATTTTTTAATGGGGCTTTTATTTTATTATTAAAAAGCAATTAAACAACTTATTGATTAATAAAATATACGTCTTCGCCTTTTTGCTTATTGGCGGTGTCTGTTTTGGATTACGCCAGTACCGAATTTTCCGCTTCGTAATATCTTCATCCATAGCCTGGCTTAACCCACTGCTGGGTATAGGCCTCTCGTAGTTTGTGCAATCCACCACGATTCTGGAATAAAATCACCCATCACAACTATGACGATGTCGTCCATCCATCTCGCTACAGGACGTCTCAAGTTTCTATAACAATTTCTTGGTCATTTGTTATCACTTACTTACGTTACTCCATCTGTCTTCACTACATCTCGCAATATGTCCTATACAGATAGTAATATACAGTGTGCGAATTTTGTAATGAAATCCCTTAATTAATTGTTTTATATATAATCTTTAACATTTGTATATATATTTTGACGTTATTGACATATTATTGCATACTATTTTCGTTTGCTTTTTGTTTTTTTCATTGTTTTTTTTTTTTTCAAACAAACCAAAATTTCGAGGTCTTTATAGGTTCCATAGTCACGTCTGATAATTGGACTTGTAAAATACGAGATTTAAACTGAAACTAGATAAAAAGTATAATTTTCTTTGTACACGTATATCTTTATATTTATCGTATTTTCTTTGTACACGTCGATAAACCAATATCGATAGACTGCTCGTCATTATAAACGTACATTCTATGGACGCATCACCCACCAGTCCACAAATAACTACACTTTTTTACGACGCGCGGTCGCGATATTTATTTTAAAGTTTTCATAAAGATGGAGTAAATTTACTGACAGTGAGTGTTAAACATGCATAAAAGCTTTTTGTATGCGATGAAGAGTACTGTAAATAAGTTTGGCAAAAATAAACATTGCTAAGAAGATTATAGATAACAGACAGCGATGAACACTGATCCGCGAAAGATATGGTTGAGAGGACGATATGACAAAAATAGAGAAAAGTATGTTTAGGTAGTTTGGGCACATGGAGCGGATGAATGAAAGTAAAGCGGCTAAGAGGTATATAGACCTCAAAGTCAAATAATTTTTATTTCATACGTAAGCAAATTATACTTGAAATCATCATATTAATTGGTGCTATTAGTGCAAAAATGGAGTACTCCTCGTTCAATTTTCTTTTTACAATATTACTTTAAATGATACTAAAGCAACGTGGTGGCGTCAGTGATCGACCAACAGTGTTCGACATCTTTTTTTAAATTAATTTCTAATAAGATTTAGGACAATTTTTTTATCATAGTTACACGTTTCGTATTCGTAAGTGGTAATTACTGGGTGTTCATTGTTGGTGAGTGCCGATTACTGGTTAGTTATATATAATTAGTGGGTGTTTGTTGTTCATGTTACTGGAGATCTAGAGAATTTATCGTTTAGGTTTTTTTAGTAATAATAAAATGATGATAGCGTTTTTATGAAACATACTACAGCATATTCGCGCACCATCTATGCCTGTGTGCTTTGTATAAGATGTGATTATTGAGGCGCGCTTAACTGCACGCGTGTAGCACATTCGCCAAATCTGTACGCATCCTAAGAATTCCCGAAACTTGCTTTCACGGTTTATAGTACGTCAAAGTTGTTTTTGTTTGTTTTTTATTTTATTTTATTCATTTAAATCAGGAAAACGTGACGCATACAGTACATTTCTTAAAAACAACTAATTTACACGAATTGCACTTGTTGGTGACGTGTCGCACAATAATAATATGGTGTTCAATAAACCGACCTCGAAATCGCCCATATACGACACCCTTCGGCCAGAACTCATCCTTCATGAAGGTCGACAGATGATTGGTCGGCACTCTCACCACAAACGAATTAAAATTTACGTTGTGGCGGGACTCTAAACGCTCGATGTGAACCTCAAGATGTATTTGGCTTTAGTTTATTTATTTATTTATTTATTCAATGAACAAAGTTTCAACAGCGTTCTTAAACTTATTTGACAAATGTGTTTAAGCAGTACAAAAGCCAATTACAGAAACTCACTATGTATACAAAATATGTGATATTATTATTACAACATTGGGCAGAAAAATAAATTTAAATTGGTACAATAAAAACTGAGTTCATAACTAACTGTAATTTACATCAATTGTCGTGTATAGGTCTGTGTAAGTATTGTGTATGTGTGTATATGTGATGGAGCATGAGTGTCTAGTTCGCCTCCCTCTATTTCCTCAGAGAATGTGCTAGGCAGGTAAAACTAACAAAGAAAGAAACTGCTCGCATCGTTAGTGCTTGCAACTCGGCTTACATGGCGCACGAAATCGACGCAAATAAAACTGTTTAAGAAAATAATTTAAAGTAAAATGGTTCAATTACAGTAATTGAGTCAAATATTCAAATAAATTATATAAAGTTAACGTTGATTGATTAATAAAATGAGAAATAAATACATTTTTTAATTAATTTATTTATTTATTTATACCTCTGATGTTTCCAAGCAAAGCAGTTTTAAATGTAGTTCTAGACATAGAAAACAGGTCAATGTCAGTAAAATACTTGTTGTATGTTTTAGGCAATCTCACGGTCATGTCGTTAGCCTCATAGTTTCGTTTAGTTGTAACTTTGACGTGAAATCCATTTGATGTATTTTTGTATATGTTCATATGTTGTGTCGTTGTCAGGAGGTGCGTGCTGAGCGCGATGTCCTCCAATCGCGCATGTCGGAGCAAGCGCTCAAGATATCCTCGCTGTCAGCCCGGCTGCAGCAGCAGAGGAACGATGCTGAAGCGCTGGCGCACCAGGCGGCCAGCCAGCTCTCCGTGCAACTTCACGACGCTTTAGCCGAGGTAACAATTTCTTTAAATTTCAATTCATTTACTTCTCTGTGATATACCGGCTGTAAAGGTGTAACAAGAGTGCACTTTGAACCATCATCGTTTTCAAAATTTTTGTGAAGACGAACAAGGACGAAGAAGTCCAATCAGCCATAGTTAACAAATAAATTACAACTATTTAGTGATGAGAGTTAAGATATTAGGGTCAAGAATGGTACTAACTTCAACAACCAACTACGGCTCGCATTGTGCTTTTTATGCTTTACACTAAGTTATGAATTAAATGTATTTGTAACTCTCTCTTTGTATTCTTTTTTTAACCAGGTGCAAAGGATGAAAGAGGAGATAGAATCGAAAGACAAACAGTTGGCGAGGGCAAAACAAAACTTGGAAGAACGAGAGAAGTTCAATGAACAACACAACAGTCTGTATGGAAACTCATGTGAGTACTTTAGAGTACTGTTGTGTCCATTTTTACAACAGCAAGGTGTCCTAGCATCATCAAGCCATATCTGTCCTACTGCTGGGCACAGGTCTCATCTATAGTTAGGGATTTGGCGTCTTCGACGTGCAGATTTCGTCACGTTGTTTTCATTCACCGCCGGTGAGAGGTATTACTACTAAACATTGTTTCAAAAGGACACGAGACGTTCATTCAATAAATGTAAGGTATCCAGACAAATTAATTAATCACAGTAATACCAAATTAACTTACTACCTGAGACAATCTGGAGCTATGTGTGTGAAAATATATAATGCTTTACCCTCTGACATAAAAGATGTAAATAATAATCATTTATTTAAATGTAAGCTCATGTCATGGTTGAGAGATAAAAGATTCTACTCCCTTAATGACTTTTTCTCAAACAAAGATTTTCAAATTTGACAATATAATTGATTGACATAAAATTGACATTAATTCATTATGCATAATTTTTAAATTTCGATTATTATTATTATTACTTTTAACTTGACATGACATAAATTTACTAGTACTTATGACATTTATAAATTAATAACTTTTTTTATATTACTTTAAATTACTAGATTTGCTTTGAATTATATACAATTTCTAGAATTTTATAAAATTTAATATTTGCATGCCGATTTCGGTTAAATATGAGAACTGTTACTCTATAAAATACCATCTTATGTAAACCATATCTTGAGCAAATAAATATCATTCATTCATTCATTCATTCATTCTTAAAAGTTCATACTGAGATATTAAAGTCATAGGTACATGCCGCTGCAGGAATTTGAACCGTTGAAGTCTCAATTGAGATACAATAGTTCTCCCACTACGCTACCTACGCTACACATTTGTATATATTGTAAGAATACGAGGCATCTTGGATTATTTATTTTTTATTCAATAATACAAATCACGGATACATATAGCTTTCTTTTCTACGTGCACTGTTATTACTTATGTCGTTTATTAATCATTAATTTGTCTTCATCAGGTAACCCAAAAGACAAAGTAATAATTCTGGAACGGGAGCTCTCTTCCGCACAATCGCGCATCGCACAACTGGAAGCGCTAGTGCGTAGCCTCGAACAAGACAAAGATGAGCTGCAAGCTACGCTCAAGGAACATCAGAGGACCCTGGCCGAAAAGGAAGACCAGTTGCAAGAGCTTTTGGGTAAGTCATTATGAATCAGGACCCTAATTATAACTATGTGTGTTACAATTAGGGTCATGCGATATCGTTAGTGTTGTTCAAAGCGACTAGAGGATAAGGTAGTCTGTAAGGGCAGAGTAGCGACTCTGTCCTTACAGGGTGTTACCTCGTGATCGCGACGCGGTAATCGTTATTAAGAGGGTGTTTTAGGAGTAGTTGTTGGAATTAAAAATATTGTAAGTTTAAAAAATGAAGTATTGTAAATGTTTTAAATATGTTAATGTTAAATGTTATTGATGTTTATTGTTTAGGAGTTGGTAACTATCTTGAAAATACAATAAAATGTCATAATACGATTTACCACATCAACAAAATAACTAGAACTAGCACATCTTACTACAACAAAATAAAACTAGAACTAGACCATGTCAACGCAGGAAATTAAAGTTCAATGTTGTACGTAACCGTACATAGTCACCACATTTATCCAGTGACGTAGCATGGGGGTGCAGAGGGGGCCATGGCCCCGGGCGGCACAGCAATGGGGGCGGCGGCGCGCCCTATCTAGCCAAAATTATTATTATTTTACTTATAATTAGTAAATAAATTCCACTATTTGAGGAAACGATATCCAGTACAATACAAAGGTGGCGACGGCAGGCTAACACAAGAAACACAATCGAGCCGAGCCTACCCGAACGAACTACTTTTGTAATCGTGAAAATAATGAGGACAACAAATTTAAGGTTGGCCCTGGCCGGGTAGTCAACGCTACGCCACATTTATCGACCACATAATCGCCTTAAACCGGTCAGAAAACGTTAAGAGCGAAGAAGATGTTGTACATTTCGCATCTGGACGACGCAGCTCGACATAGGTTGGTAAAGAATCTGCTTTCTGCGGACTTCCGATAGCTCCGTACGCAGCGGACGAAGGCTCGGCGACGTCTACGCCCGAACCCCCACGTCGACCGTCGAACATAAAACATTTCGTAAAAGTGATCGTCTCAAGCCGTTCACTCGTCGATAAGTATGGTGACTCTCTTCATCTGAGCGAACAGCCGCTTTTCTTTTTTGCAATTTTACGCCAATTACAGAGAAATGGTCTTGACTTTTTCATGCTCATTTATATTAAATTATTAATATGTAGAAAAAAAAAAACAAATACAAAAACAATAAATTCATACGACTTGTTTATCTTTCACAGCACTAAATTTAGAAGAAAACCAAAAAGATGAAAAGGAAGAAGCGGAAGGAAAAGCATCAGCCAGAACACTAAGTGACATTGTCTCTATATCAGAATTTGACGAACAAGATCTGCAAATGCGCAGGGCAGAGCTCAAAAACCAAAATACAAGCCTGACTGGCGCTCTACATGACACTAACAAAACACTAAACAAGACTTTACCTCCTGAAGGACAGAAACCAGACATGAGTTCCCTCAACCTTGAATTTGGTGACCATTTCGATATAACAAGTTATACGCCACGGGCGGACTCCTTACCAGCTCATTTGACGTCTACACATAATAAAGATATTGTAGCAAGGTATAAGAGAAATGTGAACGAAACCGCGGTATTTGGAACAATAGATAAATTCGGAGATAGTGTGAAACATTCCACAGCACAGAATATACCAGATAACTGTTCCATGTACCCTAACAAAGATGCTTCGGCGAGTAAAAATATGACTGTGGAACCGAAGAAGATAAACTTCTCCATTGAAGTGTCTAATGACAATAGAGATCAAGACAACGAATTTACTTCTCTTAGAGATTTGGGCGTCACATTAGATATTAGGCAAGAAAACTTCCCGGACATACTGACGCAACTGAAACATGAAATTAAGAAATCCAGGTCTGAATTAGAGAACTGTAAATCCGAGCTAAAGAACGCTGAAGAACAATTATGTGAATTTCCTGCCTTGAAAGAAGAAGTTGAAGAACTAAAGGGTTTGTTGGAGAATACCATGGCTACAATGGAGAATGATAAGAAATTCTATGAGAATCAATTGGAAAATTTCTCATCAAACAAGAAATTGTTGGAGCAAAGACTCACAGAACTAACACAAGAAATCAACGACAAGTCGAAAGACTTACATCTGCTCAAAGAAGATATTTTACGTAGGGAAAACATGATTCTAGAACTTGCCAAAGAAAAACGCAATTTAACAAACAAAATGACAGAACTCGAAGTTAAAATTGATGAACTTCAAAGTCGAAATACTTTGCTAGAGAAATACGAATCCGAGAACCATCAAATGCATGAAAAGATTGTCGAGTTACGAAAAGTAGAACAGTTGGTTACAGAAAAAAATCAGCAGATTGACAGTCTGAACCAACACTTAGACAGACTTGATGATCTACAAAGAAACCTTGACGACAAAACTGAGGAATTTGAAAACCTAAAAGAAGCGTTCGAAGAGAAATCCAATGAATTATTCCATATGCAAGATACAGTGGACGCTTTGAACCGTGACAATGCCAAGTTAAATGACGATAACAACCTACTGATAACTTATAACAAAGACTTAAAACAAAAATTGACTAAATTAGAAAAGGAGCAAGAGAACGCATCACTGAAACTGCAAAGCAGCGAAGTGGAGCTCGAGAGAGTGAACTCCTTAAATAAAGAATTGGCATCAAAGATTGAGGAACTCAAGTTACTGAACGACAAATTAAAAGATAAGGAAACGGAGATAGAGATTCTTAACGAAGACATTAAATCTTACCACGACGAGATCGCCTCTTTGAAAGAGCAGCTTAAAATGGTATCGCGTAGTCCTTCCCCGCGGAGTAAGAATGGCGAGGAGAAGAAGACCTCTGATCGTCAAGCGAGTAGCGATAAGAAACAACTGGTGAAGATAAGGAAACAAATATCGCTTATGCAGCATGAACTGGACTTTAATAAGAAAGAGCTTAACGATAAGGTTGGTATGGTTTTTAACTACTTACAGGTGTCTGGTAATTAAGTATAGATGATGTTAAAATTTTATGTTTTTTTATGCTGTACCTAATTGTTTTTTATTTGTGTTTATTAAGGTATGACAGAAATAGTTTTCGAAGTCTTGAATTTTTGCCTAATTTTCAGTTTACAATTTTTTTACATGTTATTTAATTGAAAAAACGTCACGAACTTAGAATAATAACGCATAGAATGATAGTTTCATATCAAACGAACTGTCACAAGTGAGGCAAAAATCAAATTCATGTAGGCTAGTTTTAGTAGTAGGTTAATTTTCGGTTTTAGTGAATATTTATATAAAAATACAAATTGAAACGCGTTACTTCCTTGTGGAATGTGATGTTAGTATCTATTTTATGTTTGTCTGACGTATTTTTACACTCATTTACCGCACATTTCGTCATTTTTAGCTAAAATTCTGGAGCTGTTCGCGGTGCAAGTTGACCTTGAGCACCAACGGCCCGCCCGCTCGTGTAGGCCCATTGGGCGCGCTTCAATTTGCCTCACTTAGCGTGTGCGGACTAGGTTTCTATGCGTTATTATTCTAAGGTCACGAGTAATAAAAAATTGGAAAGCACAACTTAGTAATATAAAATTTAAAAACACGGTTCGTCCGCGGTGGATCGTGAAGCGCGACGTCTTATTTATATTGTTACATAAAGAGTGTACAAAATAGTAGTTTATGTGACTGTTACATAATGAAAGGCATTTTCGATCTCACTAGTGTTTTAATGCTTAATTATTTACAGTTTTTTTTTTAAATGCACACTCAACATAACCCCGCACTAGAGAAACCCTGGGTCGCGAGACGCAATTACAGACACTGCTTTGTGTACATGCATATTATAAGCTCTCTGTGATGTGTTCAGGAACCGCATGTTACGACTGGCGAAATGGCGGCAAATAAAAACTTTTCTCACGCATGTCACACAACCGTAATTTTTATTTTTAATTCATAGACAAACTAGAATCGGCCTCAACTATCATATCGTTCGATACCAAGTAATGTGAAATTGTGAAAATTGTTTGCTATTGACATTTCATTTCGAATAAAACTTCATCTCGACTGATTAGAATTGAGGTCCAATCAAATTGTTTTGTTTTTTAGAGATGTTCGATATTTGAATGTAATAATAACATCGAATTGGACGTTCTTACGAAGCAATAATAACATTTTCACAGATAAGAAATTTGTTCTAACAAAAAAGTTTATCTTTATGCTGGTGGTAATTTGCATCATAGAGGGTTTATGATACGCGTAGATAAAAATATGAAATACTTATTCGAGTTCCACGTTGACACAGGCTTTCGAGCTCGCCAAGGCGAAGCTGGACATCACGGAGCTGGTGAACGACGCGAGCCAGGCGAAGCGGCTGGCGGCCGAGCGGGAGGCGGCCAGCGTAGAGGCGGCGCAGCAGAACGAGGAGCTGCAGCGGCGGCTGCGGGAGCTGGAGGCGGACAGGGCGGCGCTGAGGGCGCAGCTGGACGCGGACAAGGGGGCGGGCGAGGACCGCGCGCTGGTGCTCAGCGGCACGCGCTCGCCCACGCAGGAGCTGGAGCGCGCGCTGCGGGCGCAGCTGCACTACTCGCACGCGCTGGACGAGGACATCCTGGACCAGGTACCGGCCCGTCGCGGGGACCGCCCGCCCGTCCAGCAGGCAAAGGCTCTTCATTCGCGCATGTTCGATAAAACTGCGGACGCGTGGGATTACTCACCTCCATATCTCTACGCAGCACTGCAGCTGTTATAGCTGCCAGGAGCACCCGTGAATTGATACTATATAAAATACACTCCACAACCACTCCAGCCAAAAAACAAAACAAAAAACACCACGACATTGGCACGGCTACCGGTCGAACACTTCTCCTAGACATTCGTATTTTTAACACTATTTCACAATGAAATTCCTCGCATTTCCCACAGGAACTCCACAATCTAGCATAGGCACTATGTATTTAGCGATCGCATTCACAATAAAAAAAGCAAATAGAAGTACAAAGATTTTGCAATTACTTTAATGCTCATTATATAAAACAGCAGCTTTCTCAATATGCAATTTCCGCGTCACAATACTTGAAATTTCAGCAGCAAAGGTCCAACAATAATACATACACATACTCCTACCGTTGAATTTCCATTAAAGTTGACCCGTTGACACAATGATTCTCTCCGTACTAAATGCGTAACTGAGTAAAACCGTACGTCTTATCCTACAAAATCTATAAAATAATAATAACAATAATAGTATAGAAACACGTGAATAAAAATTTTAATACTTACATTATATAATAATCATTACAATATTTTACCTACAGATTCTGTCTGCAAGCAGCGACGAGCGCGAAGATATTCCTCGACTTGCTTTGAATACATCAAAGTAAGAAAACTCATCCTATTGTTTTCAGTCAATATATTTATTTATTGAAAGAAGATACAATAGGGTACTTCATTACTATAACAATAATAAATTATTACAATGATATTAATTACGTAAAAATATGCTTACTATCTAATGCATTCGATATTATTTGTGAGAGAATAGTGCTTGAGATACGTGTAAAAATTTTTAGTTTTAATTTTGCACTATCATTCTGCAGTCGTTATTAATTTAAAGTATCTCCTTTTCAAAAGAAATATGGATTTAAATAAAAATTTTTAAATACAAACTTGTTTAGTTATGTAATTCTATAATGTTTTTCTTAGATCATCAAGTTCCATCCATTCGTCGTCATCGGACCGTCTGCACAGACTGCGCTCGGAGAACGACAAGCTGCAGATGCAGGTGAACAACCTCGAAGCAAGGCTCAAAGACAAGGACGCTCTCATCACTGAATTGAACAGGTCCGTTCATCTTATCACACTATTCGTATAATCTGCTATCACGTCACGAACTTGCACTACTGGATGTTCTCGAATATGTCAAAGCTCGATTACTGTTTGTCTTAACGGTGCAGGCTGATGATTATTCGATATGAATTTAGATAAATAAGTAGTAGCCCTGTGGGAGAAAGGATGCTTATCTTATTTGAACAGTCGCATTTGTGCTCCTAAATTTATCACTAAACTTACAAAACGTAGGAAACTTTATCTCTCTTTTGGAGCAGTAGCGGTATTAACCTCGTTGTATTCATGAGTTCTATTCAGATTACAATTTCTGATTTGCCTATATTTTTATTTTGTTAAATATATAGATAATTTTTCCCTCGAGTTTCTCAAATTATTCGAGATTTTTTTTAAAACCATAGGGAATCAGATTAATCAACTAACTTTTTGAAGTGGTTTTGACTGGTTGTCTGGGTAGTGCTCCGATGTGAATTCCGTAGCTCTTGGACTCGGGTTCGATTCGCAGTAGGACCAATTTGAGAAATGAACTTTGCTACATTTTTTTTGTTCGGATCATTCTATGTAGTATTTATTATCTTTTACAAGATAAAATTTGTACTGCAATTTGAACTAGAAGCAAAAATGCAAACATGGCGTAACTTTTAAGCCATCTTTTAAATAATTAAAAAAGGTGATTTGATTTCTCAACTTTTCGAGTTCTCTAGGATATTTTTCTCGTCTTGAAGTTGACCAGATGTCTCTGGATTACTCTACTCGAGAAATCTCGAGCAGAAACCCTAATTCAGGTATAAAAAAAGATGATAAACCAGTAATCGTATCGTAGAATCAATTATGACAAAAATGTCAGGTGCTACAGTTATTGAGAGTGTTACACTTTAAAATCGTACCAACCTTTGGCAACACATCGACTGGAAAACCGCATCGGAAATAGGCTCTGGCGGCTCGGTCACGCAATCGTTTTTATTAAACACTGATTATTTTGCTCAATGCCAACGAAACTCAGTAATATGCATATTTGCCTTGTAAAGTTGAAAATTAAACTTTTTATGCTCGGATAAATACACTCAGTATTTAAAAACTTGATTATTGTGCTGAATTATAGTTGCGATTCAGTCTTTCAAATAAACACTAAATTCGTGATTCCGCCCACTAAGTTGGCGTCTTGAATTTAATACCGGTTTGTCCTTACAGGTATTGGAAAGAATTATTAATTGTCAATTTTCTTAATTTTATTGAGTAGACACGATGTTTGACCAACATGATATTCAATTATTTTTGTGAAATGACTCGACTAGTTTGTCATAATTATTAATACAAAGATCATACACTTAGAAAAAAAATCCTTCGATCCGGTGGCGGCTTAGTTGGCATAGCGTCTGCCACGGTTTGCTAGAAGACGTTGGTTTGAATCAAGCCGGAATTTTTTATAAGTGTTCGATATTTGTTTTAGTAATTATCAGAATGATTAAATTTTGTAAAGATTTACATTTTGATGCTTCAAAACCAACCTCTCTATTTGCCGGTATCGAATGAAACATGTGTACAGTATACATTGTTATAGTATCTCGGTAACAGTAGAGCTTTTATATGTGTTTATTTATTTACTAAAAATGCACATGTCACAACAATACAAGTTCCATTATATGTCTAATATTCGTCCAGGGAAGCACTGCCACCACATTTATTTCTGTAATTGACCAGTAATTGATTATTACCGCGTAGCGATTATGAAATTACAGGCACATGGGACTTGTCAACTTTGTCAACGGTTTGTAGTGGCACTGCAACTGTTACGGATAGACGTGTCGCTTACCACAAGGCCCACGGCTGGTTCGTCCCTTCAGTTGGTAGGGATTTGTATATGAATACGAACGATTATCTGATAAATAAATAAACGTTGTGGCGCAGGATCCGCGACAAGCTGGTGCAGGAGTGGCAGGCCAGCCAGCTGCGCTGCGAGGCCGAGCGCGACAACGCGGGCCGCCTGCAGCTGCTGCTCACCACGCATAAGGAGACGGCCGACAGTCTGCAGGTACCCTCAGCCTCAATGTTATCATCTCGAACTCTCACGAAGACTACGGCATTCGTATGACAGCGTTTCGCTTTTGCCTTATTTGCACGGAGAAGAAAAGCCAGTACCACGAAACGCAGATTACACAAAGTTTTCAAAAAAAAACATGCTAAATCAGTGCCTTTACCACGAGTTTACTGTGGTGTACAATTATCTCCAGCGACTGTGTAAATTTTTTCACAATTTTGTACGGTAAATTATACAGCGCCCCTAGCGGTACAGGATTCAACATTTTGTTTACAAACATTTTACGCGGTCGCTAGCGTAACTGTCACTGTAATCGTATCTCTACCATAAGATGAGACTACAGCATTGTTCGCACGCATAACTGTAAATTATTGGAAAGAAATATTGGTCTCACCTACTCCATTTATTGTAAATACTGCTTTTCTGCAGAACCAAGATACCAACATGATCCAAATCCTGAAGAAGCGCCTCGAGAGCTCGATGCAGTCCGAGCTGGAGCTGCAGCAGAAGGAGCAGGAGCTGAGGGCCCGCGCGGCGCAGCTGGAGCGGCAGCTGCTCGCCGCCGACGGCAGCGACGCCAGCAGGAAGCAGTTGGAACACGAGGTAGGCGCCGCACCTTCTCGGGCTTGCTCAGTGGTGGACGTGCATTATCTGAAAACAATGCATTTGCTGTAACTGCCGAGACAGGCAGTTTGACCATGGCATAAACATACTTACGTTTATATGCCAAATTTAAATAAATATATATTAGTTCTCTACACTTACTACTACATATAAAGTATTTTAGTCTAAGATTCACATTTGAAACTTTTTCTGACGATTCACTAACGCAGCACAAACAATTCGAAACATTAACTATGTGTACAGAGCGAATACATTTAATAGACGCACTGTGCTATTTTGATATATCTAAATTTATGCAAGACTTTTTCTGATTTTTTTAAGCTGAATTATGAGGAGTGGCAAGCTATTGTTGAAACCGATCCACCAATATTTGTTTCCCTTTCAGCTGGCGAACAACGAGCGACTGAAAGGCGAGATCTCGCTGCTGAAATCTAAGCTGGAAGTAGAGCGAACGCGCTACGGTGACCTGCAAGTCCTGCTGGAGCACACCAAGCTGCAGAGTCAAAGGGACTTGGATGCGAAGGGTGAACAGTGCAATGCACTCAGGAACGAGCTCGTCACATTGAAACGGTATTATTCTCGGGGTTTTTCTCAAGACATAAGTATTAGCGTATTAAACGATAGTTTGGTAATTCGTATTATTGAATATACTGCTCCTCTATACAAAAATTTTAATGCCACCTCCATCGCTGCTGCTTCTGTTGCCATTTTATTGTTATCGATTCTATTTAAAACGATAACTAATTATTCTTTAAATTGGTACTTAAATTTATTAAAACTTGAAGTAGCGATAGGAATGTCGAATTAAACAATGCCGAAATGTATATTAAGGACATTCTTACTTACGAATTCTCGACTTGTGTAAACACGTTCTCGTAAGATATTTTTTCTCCATTTTGAATGCAAGATTTATCGTTCGAGTTCGGTGATTAAGTACTGTTAACTCGAAGATATTCAATAGTCTATGGCGAGGCGAGAGTCGCCTACATTGTAGGGCGATAATCGCGAATGTCTACATGAAAAAACTTGTTAATATTCTTTCCATAATCGTATCTTCGAGAAGAGAAACTATCTCCGTGTAAATGGGCCCTAACAGGTCGGCGGTTCAAATGCCTGTGGCGGCATTTTCTAAGTTACGTACACTTATGTATATTTAGTAGCAATACATCTCATTAACGGTGATAAATAAGGTTTAAAACCTTTGAAAATAGTGTGATGACCCGAACTCGTTTTGAGTCACCGTGGCGGATTGTGACCCAAACATTCTCCTTTAGAAACACTGAAGGGCAACGGTGATACCATGGGACAATAACTGAAGAGGACTGCTAATCTTTATACTACAGATCGTAACTCTCAAAAAGGTCAAATTTCCTTCTTGTATCTAGATGGCGCTGATCAAATAGCCTGGAAATAGTTTTTTTTTATTTATTTTTTTTATTTTTATTTATTTATATCAGGTAACAAAGACCCATGTATACATACCTTATAGACTAACATACATAACAATATAAAAACAAAATACACCTATATTATATATACCTTAAAACTAACATACATACAATATAATAATAATAATAATAACGCACACACTCAACATAGCCCCGCACTAGGGAAACCCTGTGTCGCGGGTGCCATGGACACACACATAGACAACCACAAATTAAAAACAAGTCGAAAGATGTTCGGTCGGTATTCTCACCACAAACGAATTAAAGTTCACGTTGCGGCGAGACTCCAACCGCTCGACCCTCAGGGTGTAATTGGCTTTGTTATGTAAATAGCCGTGGACATCAATTAATTCCTGTTTAATATGAAATATAAGAAATCAGGTTGTTTTCCTTGTAAAAATATTCAAATGTTGATCATTAGCTAAAATATTTTTTTTAACTTTGACAAATATGTGTGTCAATAGATGGCATTGATGTTACAAACTAATTTATAAATTAAGGCTTCCAAATATAGGTAGATGGGGTTATTCCTAAATAAAAGGTTAGCCGGCACTAACCATAAAAAACCTGTGCAATAAGCGCCATCTAGTTCATTTGTTTGTTGTCACTAGAAATTAGAGTAGCTTTGAAAAATTGCGGCTTGTAAAACAGTTATAAAATAGCTATTTGGTACTCGTCGGGACATCTGGTGGACCAATATAGGTACTAAATACTCGACTACGCTGTCTTGCATCGCGGTTAGAAGTCCTTTTTAACCGACTTCAAAAAAGGAGGAGGTTCTCAATTCGACTGTATGTATGTTACGCGATAACTCCGGTATTTGTGAACCGATTTTCATGATTCTTTTTTTGTTGGAAAGGGGGTACTTCCATTGTGGTTCCATTTCATTTTGAAGGAAATCGTCTACTTCTAAGGGTGGCTGTTCACGCACGAAGATTCATTTTTATAAATAACGCCTAAATGTTCTTAAGGAGCAATTATTTTAATGGTTGATTTTGCTATTTCTCCAATTCAAGGCGTTTTTCTCTCAATATTCTTTGAGTAGTGTCTCTCAAAGTTCTTGTGCACCCTGCCACATTGAACCGAATGCTGCAGGCTCTCCAAAACCGACGGGTGCCCCGTGGTACCAACGCAACGCTCACAGAGCGGCAGCGGGGTGCGGTCCGGTAGCGGGGCGTTTGCAACTCTTGAGCGTGTTTTTGTCAAGTTTCAATATGAATTCAACCGAAATTTCTTTTGCGTTGCTTCCGTAACACTTATAAAAGCGGAAATACTATCCGACAGCGATATGGTACTTTCTTTAAAATCCAAGTAGAAAATGAAAAATGTTTGGTGTCACACCGGCCGCCTTCGCGTTGCTATTCCGCCGCGAACTGCGTGTGGGACTGCTGTGTTGCACGTCCCGGTACAGATTCGCTTCCCGCAGGTTCGGCAATATAGTGTCCGGCTGTATAGTGACGCAAACTGGCATGAATAGCACAGCTTACAAATGGCTGTAGCATGGAGTGTTATAGTCTTATTAATTATTTTTTTATAACCAAATATGCGCGCATTTGATATGCATCTCACCTGATGGAAAGTAACGATAAGGTCAACAATGGAGCATACTCACTTAAATAATGTCTATTCACTCTCGCCTTGAAAAGGCCCAAGTTATATAACAGTCGTAATCGAGTAAAGTCGTTCCGTTCGCAGCCTGAAGCACGAGGCGAGTGTGGAGCTGCTCCGCGCCAAGGAGCTGCTGAACATCCAGGGCAGCACCATCGCCGAGCTGGAGAAGAAGCTGGCTAGCGCCGTGCTCAAGCAAGGGTCCGGCGCCGACACCCTGGTCAGTACCGTAGTAGCCGTCGGGCAGGGGACAGGCCAATGCTATCGCAATGCGGTCGCCGCCGGGGCGGGCCATGGCAGAATGTCACCGCAACATTATTACATAAAAGTTTGCATCGGAAAATGACTGTGTGGCTTTACCAGTTCATTATTTTACTATTATTTCAATAATTTCTCTGGCGTGTCGTTTCCGACGTACACGCAAAGAGTCGTGCTACTTGATATGGGATGTATCGTTCGCCGGTGCTTAAACCTGAGTCCCTGACCCCGGCCGACTGCGATATTGCCGGGGAATAACGAATTTCTCTTTAGTAGTTATACATTTTGGTAATAATAAAGATATCCACTTAATAAAGGAGACTTTTATAAATTTAAACATTGAATACGAATAAATAAAGACTGGATTAGTGTTAGGTAACTAAATCTATGTTACAGGTCCCCAATTTCGATTTATATATTTGTTCGTTTTAAAAGTTTTTGTATACAAACGTGTATTGACGCGTTTTGATTCCCGTTGGCTTTTTGCTTGTTTATTGAAAGATAGACCAATCAACTTGACACAAAAAGTCTTAGAAAATAATACACATACGTTCACCATACAAAGTGCTAAGTCGCAGTACTAAAAATTTAGAGTCACCAATGAAATACAAAAAAAACAATGAAAACGCTTACCTTGGCAGAAACTATTTATCGCCACAGCACGAGCCCGGCAAGTCTCCCTATTACGCGCACTACTTACTCGAACCTTTTCAAGAATATCCCTATTGTAATGTCCGTTGTGAACATTTGGAATGAGTTCTTAAAAAAGAAAGTAATATAAATAAAAGAACGTTTGTAATGTGATCCGGCAGACGGAGATCGAGGCCCACAAGGTGGACCTGGTCCGCGAGATAGCGGCGCTGAAGAAGTGCCTGTCGGACGCCGCGGCGCCCGAGCGGCAGCCGCTGCAGGCGGAGCCCGCGCGCGGCAGCGGCGCCGACGAGAGGGACCAAGCTGTGAGTTGCTCTGCCCCACGATGCCTTGTCTTTTGTCTTGTCTTTCTGCTGTCCCCACCGGCTGCACGGTGGCTTCCGCTCTGCGTTTGAAGCCGGTAGGCGGAGACGCGGCCGACGACTCCTCGGGCGTAAAGATGTTCAGAAGCTACATACGAGAAGACGCAACATTGAGCCGTCTCTATGGATGGATGGTCCCCGAATGTCGGGAATTGCGAAGAATCGAGTCCACGAGTTGGAAGAGCAGCGTAAAGCTGAATTCGGTTCTTGACGAAACTTGAAGAAATAAAAGCCCATCCGCCCCACATTAACTATATTTACGCATGGGATAATAGCAACAAATACCTTAGCACCATCAGTGGACTCTCTGATGATAAGGAAAGTCCTTGGCGGTATACTTACGTGCCCTCAATATCGCCTTGTAGATTAGCTACATTAGTCATTCATAATTGAACACGGTTGAATAAATAGATAAGACGGTCGTATGGTACATCGGATGTTATACGGAGATTGTCCGTCTTAGGCATTTACGACACTAAGAATTCCTTAAGCAATTTGTAGGCTGTGGGACACAAATCTCGTGATAGTCATTAATACTATTTTGCCAGCGGCAGTTAACCATTAGGGCGTAAATTTTGCATTGTATATATCATTTTTAAAGAAATAGATTACCTTCCATCGAGGAATTAATATCCGCCGTATCTTGGATAAGACGCTGCTTTTTAAGATTTAAAATCGCGCATTTTTTTCAAACTCACGTTTCGGGTTCTATATTGCTGACGGAGATAGCAGTAATCATCAACACTTTCGACGATTTAGGACCACAATGAAAAATGAGAACATCTACAAAAGAACACTTCTTGAAATGGCTACTTCTTTCATTGACCACTTTTACAATTCAATATATTTCGGCTTCGGTTTAGGAACATTACATACAAGTTTGATGATGGACCTTTAAGTATGTACAGTAGATACTGCTTAGTCTGTCCTCGTATCGAGAAAAGGCACAACTATGCGTACTTTACACGATAGTTGTGTCTTTTTTCGTTACGAGGGCAGTATTATTGCCCTGGAGGGTAACGTCCCTCCGTCTATCGCAACTGGATTTCGCAACCATTAGACAAAAATAGGCAAATAAGACATTTCAAACATTACATTTTTTTTAGTTCAGATAAATGTCTGAGCATGGTTCTAAATTGGCGAAGGGGAAAAAAATAACATGTTCATTTCAAGAAGTGGTCAATTCAAGAAATGGTCAATTTGAGAAGCGGTCCTTTTTAATTGTGGTCATTTTTCATTGTGGCCCTAAACCGCCGAAAGATCATCAATACATTCAGTGTACTTGGGTCTTTTAGCCCGATTCTTTAGGGATTCTGTGTTTATGAATGTAAATTATTATTCTGAACTATTATTATTTTTATTTTATGTAAAGGACATTCTAACTTACGCTATATAGGTTTTGCAAAATATTTGAACGGTATGCATTTTTTACTACTTACGTTTTATTTGAAATATAGAAAATAATTATATTCGACAAAAATAGTTTGATTTCCAATGTGGTCATCGCGAAAATGTAATAATTGGACATCCATCATACTTGCTTAGATTTATTCACACGGATTGAGGTAGTCTATTGGTAGAATAATAAAATAATAATCGAAATTTGGGTGTTCGTTTTATTGAAAAGTTTATTCTAAAAAGTGAAATGTAAAAGAATTAACATTCACGCTGACGAATCGCGTCGGTGCGCCCCGGTCGATCGGGAAACGAGCGGTCGCCGGGCGCGCCGGCGAGGCCGTCAACGCTTGACGACGGCGGCGAGGTCCTCGTAGTCCGTGATCTTAGCGTCGAGGTCGCCGGCCTTGTCCTCCGCCTCGGCGGCCAGCGGCTCCACGGCCCACACGGCCACGGCGTGCACGGCGAACAGCGCGCAGTAGACAGTGTACAGGCAGCCCGTCAGCGCCGCCAGCAGCAGCGGGCACAGGCGGTGGCCGGCGTCGCGCTCGCCGCCGCCGCGCCACGCGTCCTCCGTCCACGCGCGGAAGTACTGGCTGCACCTCCTGCGGGGGCGGGAGGTGAGGGGCGGCGAGGGGGCCGGCGGGCGGCGGGGGCGCGGACTCACTTGAGGTTGGGCAGCGCGCGGTCCAGCACGGAGACCAGGCAGTGCAGCGCGTGCGTGAGCACCAGCACCAGCACCCACACGGCCAGCAGGTAGGGCGGCCAGCGGAAGCTGCCCAGCGCTGCTGCAAGGAGGCCAGTCCTGAGCGGGCGACGGGCGCGGGCTTGGGCTTGGGCGCGGACGTACCTTGCACCAGCGCGCGGTTGCCCGACGCGAAGTCGTCGCGCCGCGGCACGGCCTCGAGCGAGCGCGCGCGCCGCCGCGCCTCCACCAGGCGCAGCGCGTGCTCCGACGCCGCGCGCAGCCGCGCCTCGGCGCCGCCTGCGCCCGCGCACGTCTGCGGGCACGCGCTCGGTCACTTGCGACGGACGGTCCGACGAGGGGAAGGCCGTCCCTTACACGCTCCTTTCATTCATTCTCCGCGCATCCGAACCGTCCGAGCGAAACCGACAAAACGTCTAAATACCGTGGGCGATATTCTGCCCTGCAGAGCGGGCCTTTTGTCCTCGTCGGGCTTCTCCTTCATGTTTAGCTCGGTCTTCGTGAATGACGAGTGATCGCCGCACATGCTGCAACATACCGTTACGACACCTGTAGTCGTCGCTCGACACGGAAGCGTTACATAGGGCAGTAGAACTTTTAAAATAAACGTTATTGAAGTTGTGTATACTACTTTATAAAATTACGTAAATAGTACTTGTTGCACGTAGCACTTACACCATATCGGGTAATTTCGGTAAATCACATTTGGACTCCATATTTTTTAGGTTTCACGTACTCATTGCATACGAAAGTTTTCTGTATAAGTTGTATAAAATAAATAAATAAAATTATCAAAAAACCAATGCCAGTCGTTGTTAACTGACAGATGGTATAACGTCAATAAAGCATTTCTTTTTGATGTTCCATTTCTGATTTTAGAAAAAGAAGAATATTTCTTACTAATACTTTTTACTAATAAAGAGATTGCATATTTGATACAGTTTAATAAACATTTGCGACGATGAAAATTTAAAATACAGCCAGACTAATTTACTGTTGAAAAATTAAACATACCTTATATTTACGACAGAAAGAATAATTTAAGCACAAACACGTGAAAAATCAATCTGCAAGCGCCGAATGCGACGGACGCGTATCTTCTTACCCTAATTCCTGTACTTATTATTGACGCTATGATTTCCAGCGGTATACAGAAAAATCTTTAATAGGTTTATGCGACAACGTTTTATGTATTTTTACTTATTATAAGCTATATATGTATGTTACAAGTAAAATAAATAATTCATTAACCATAGCGTGATTATTATAAATTGGAAATTAAACTATATTTTCGGATGTAAATCGCGTATATTTATTTTTTCAAAGAAACCAATGTTTCACAGTAATTTAGATACAGCAATTAGTTTCAGTTGGTTTTCGGTGTAACATACTGTTCAAACGCACTTTGACCTCATAATTTGTACTAAATTGTTACTATATGAGAGCGGTGATAGCCGAGTGGGAAAACGATTGCTTCCCTGTGACAACGAGTACCTATGGATTTCTAAGTTAAGAACATTTGTGAATGTTTAAGAGCAATGCCTTTCGCTAACGATGAAGGGAAGAATGTTTACAAATCTTGAAAAAAGTGTGAACCCCCTAACTTGAATAGAGCGAAAGTGTGGCTGGCTAGAGAGGAAGAGACTAGGAACATTTTTTTTTATGTTACCCAGTGACGGGCGAACAAGTGGTGCGTCTAGTTGCAAGCGACAACCCTGTCCATTTCAGTTGCAGTACCACCAAGGATCTGAGATACGTGGTGCCTGTAATTTCACCATAACGTCGTTGATAAGAGACCAATAACATATTTTTCACCTCACAAGCTCGGAAAAGCTTTCTTTCTCATTAGAAATTTGCGCGTTTTTTACACTATAGCGTGGAAAAGGTTTTTCAAATTCGTTCTTGACGATGGGCTGTGACGACACGTTCAACTACGCGATTTGTCGTACATTACTTATTAATGTAATAAAAATCCGTTGGTGTATTTTATTCTCATTGTTGTTGACATTAAATTGACAATGATAACTAATTAATTTTATTCGTCGAAGAACTAAAATTATTTAAATAATCACTTAATCACACAAAATAAAAGTACAAGAATAGATGATGTGTAATTTCAGAACGCATCCGAAGATAAACTTTTTCATAAAGAAACTGGTGTTTTCTTAGAGGATGGAAAAAAAAGAGGTGAAAAGTTGTGTGTTTCGCTCAGAAGCAAAGTTGTTTTGCGTCTTGTGCCTTGAAACCCTCGCTACGCTCAGGAATCAATATAAGCACCCGCCTCAAACAACAACTTTGCAGCCTTGCATAATAAACAACTATTCCTTTACAGATTCGCTACCTTCATGGCCGCTGCCTGCGTTTGGAAAGCTGCCGCAAGGCGCTAGTGTGGCAAAAACGATATCTTCAACGAGTATTGGCCGGTTACAACGAGTTCGAGAAGAGCCTTCGGATTCCAAGTAGAGGTGTTGAGGCCAGCAGGGGGAAGAAACGGTTTAAGTGAGTATAGTCATTCTTTATTTGTAATTAATATCATGATTACAACCTTGTCATTCATGTATTTTATTTATTTATTAGAGATTTACAAACATTTAATTAAGTTATTACCAATGGTCGGGAAAAGGTGTTCAAATATATAGATACATGTATAGATATAGCCACAAGGAGCGACATAGAGTACCAATATTTAATTAATTACTCTTTCGAATTCCGGATATGCGGATGAAAGAAACTCCTTTCTTTATTCTATTTATGAAGATAAACAGCCGTACATGGGTAAGTTCGTCAAAATATAATAATTAAAAGCACAAATAAAAATATAATAAATATTCATATGTGAAAATATAGTGAATATTGTTTAACAGTTGCAATGCCACTCAGAGCTTTAAATCGCAAAAGATCTGAGGGGACTGCCACTGCGCCCGTCACCCTAAGACATAAGTTCACAAGTCATTTAATAATAATAATAAATAACGCACACACTCAACAAAGCCCCGCACTAGTGAAACCCTGTGTCACGGGTGCCATGGACACATACATAGACAACCACAAATTACACCCAAACTCACGAGAGAAATAAATGTAATTGCAAATAATTCTCCCGGCACGGGAATCTAACCTGCGACCTCTACGTGGCAGTCCGGCATGGTAACCGTTCGGCCACAGAGGCAGTTAGATTTCCATCCTTACTCTTCAAAACCGGGACGTAGAAATGCTCTCATTACTGTTTGGCGGCAGAAATAGGTAAGGTGGCAGCACTTCCCTGGACGATCACCTTCACAAGGAGCTCTACTGCTGCTATTGCAGGCACATGAGACTTGTCAACTTATGTCTCTCAAATCTATGCGATTTAAAGCTCTGGGTGGTACTACAACTGTCATGGATACGCGTGTCGCTTACCACCAGGCGCACAACTTGTTCGTTCCGTCACTTGGCATAAAAAAAAGTTATAGGTTTCCTTAGCACGATATGAATAATTGTTACGTGTTGTTTTAGGTGTATAGCGACGGTGGTAATAATAGTGCTTCGCATGGGCTTTCTGGTCCGTCGGCGGCAGCACGTGCGCGCCTTGTCCGCCAACTGCATACTGCGTCCAAGGGACTTTAAGAGTACTCCGTAAGTATCAACAATGTTGTAAATTAAAATACAATGTCAAGGGTTAATATTTTCTTTAATATAAACATAAATAATATGTATACTCATGCCTTTACATTGTCGTTTGTCACTTACATTCATCAGTCTTCTATGCACTCTCTTTTTAAGAACATTCTCGATTTGATCTGAAGACTTCCTTTCTAGCTGTCTGCTTCAAATGTTGCCTTCCACATTTGCGCAATGTATCTCTTTCAACGTTATACTTTCATCTATGCGCTCCTAGATTTAAAATAATAGTTTTATAAAAATAAAATAGTATGTCAGCAAAAGTGTTATTACAAAATAGTGTCAAGGTATTACGACGTCCAATGAAAGAATGAAGTCACTCCCATTTCCTTGAAATAAATTGTATCTTTGTTTTTTTTTTTACCTCTCTTTTTATCATAATTTGGACATCAATACTTTCTTGTATCTAGGTTTAGAAAAAGAGGAAAAAAAAAATATTTTTCCCTATTTTATAAAATTGTTACCAAAAACTTACAAAATTATATTGATCATATCTTCTGTGGATGGAGGCCTGGTGATCTAAAATACAGGGTATCCTAGTTTAGCCTCCAGCCTTTAAAAATTATCCTGTATAAAACTATTATCATATCACGTGAAATTGTTGCAAATTTGTGAAGGAAATAAAGAATTTACTTTCTTTCTTACTTACTTACTTAGGATCAGGTCAATTGTCGAAGGATTTTTTTACTGTATCTATGATGAAGCACTCTTTGCTCAGCACAAGTCAATACAACACATCGACGTCGCCTCCGTCTCGTGACCGCAGCGGCGTCGTCCAGTCGTCGCCGGCGCCGTCGGCGTCCGCGTCTCGGCCCGCGGACAGTCTGGCGCGACGCGTCATGAAGCAGGAACTAAGGCTCAATATGCCTTCTTCGCCGACTTGTAAGTCCTCATAAAAAAATAACAATCTTTGAAATTAGAAGATGTTCCCAATAACCAAATTTTGTTAGGTTTCTTCTATAACTCTCGCGTTTGCTTCTTATACGTGATGGAAGAAAGGAACGCTACGCGTGTGGACGTTTTGTGTAATAATAATTACGCAACGTGTCTATCATCGGTGATAACACGAATAATCGGCGATGAAGAGGCCTTATTACACCTTGAACCTTTACAACTGCGTAGGGGCGTTGCATTCCTTAGCTCCTTTTACCTCCTTTTTCCTGCTCCGAAACACGCGGGCTTGCCTACGTAATCACAGCTTTATAATACCTAGCCGTATTCCATCGCGTACTAAAAGGTTTGGTGGCACCTACTTCCGTCGCACAGTTGACAAATGGAACTCTTGAAAAACTTCAAACGAGGCGTGAAGAGGCATCTTGTAGGCATGCAGCGTGGAGGTGGCTAGAGCAGTGATTGTATCTACACTGCACAAGGTTTCTTCACGTTTGGATTCCAGTTTCCATTTTACGTCAGGTGGAATGGAGTCATGTGCTTGTCACGTATAAAAAAAACCACACCAATTATCTAGTCTAGTCTAGTAGGGAATTCCCTGTTTTATGATTACCAACAAATGATCTCACTCCGGGGCACTACTCCGAAATTTAGTTCATGTCTTAAATTGATCTTGGATTCGAATCTCTTCGTCCAGCGCCAATAGTGCAAGCCGTTGAGCCACCGGGGTGGTCTCTATAATGTATAATCAATTTATTTATAAATTGCTATGCAATACAACTGTATATACTTGAGGTCAATTGCGGAGTAAGCTGAAAGAACAATGGCGAACTCCCGTATAAATTTTGTTCAAATATACATTTAAATTCCTGAACGAATTTATATAGAAACCAAACTTTCCTTTATTTTTTCCATCATCTAAGATGTCCTATCTCGACCTGGTTAATTATATTTTTGTGAAACATGCCATCTTTCCCTGACATCGGGAACTTTCTTGTTCACTTTCTCGCGTGATATATTTGGAGAAAGAATTACCTACTTTTTTACTTTACTCTCCGCCTAGCACCTTTAAAATTGTCCCTTGGCTTTTAAGATTTTGTTTTTCATTCTAGGCGTGCTCGTTACGGAAACAAAAATTTTGAAAGATATCAATTATTTTAATAATGATTTCTTACGTTTTAGTTGGCGATTTTATGAGAAAATCACCGTATGTCAGCAACTCGCCACGCGAAGAAGGTTTTCTATTAAGGTAGGAACAGCAAACAGTACATAACTTGAATTATTAGAATCCATAGACTCTCACCTTTTCTCTTTAAATCTATATTCTGGATTTTAAACAGTATTATCAAAACCAAAAACAATGATTTTCAGTTCACCTCGCGGAGAAGTCGCAAGTCAATACCTCAACAAACTAGAACTGGTGAGCAGGTGTCTCAACCAAGCTATGGACTCCTCTCGCGATGTGCCGTGACCGCCATCTTATGATGTCCGTACATTTTGACCAATCATGTTGCGCCATTACAGTCTCAAGCTCTGATTGGCGCGCTATCACGCCATGCGGTTTTCACCGTATATGTTTGGTTGGCTGAAACTGGCATTTGTTTTTCGAAAACTTTAATCTTTACATACATCGCCCCTATTATAAGTATTTTTGATGATTGTTGTTACAGTTAAAAGTGGGTGGTGTGTGTTTAGAAATGTATGAATGGATTTATACGTATTGTCCAGCCGCGTGAAATGTTGCTCATTTAATAAAAATATCTAATTTCGTACATTTCTAGAGATTAAGTGGATTTGTAAACAAAGTCATTTGCATTTTTAAACCTATTTTAATTTAAAACAACGTATCCCACTGCATTTCCTAAAATTGGCCGTAGAGCTAAGTATTAGATTAGTGCCAAAACATTTTTAGTTGTGTCTTACTTACTTTAATTTATTTATTTGTAAGATAAATAGGGTAAGTTTCAAGTCGGAGGACCTAATTCCAAGTGTTTTTTTTTGTTACCTCTCCGCCTATTTATATTTTTAGAGTGCTTGCGCTGGGTTATGATGGTGACATTAACGTGTTTTACAATTACAACACATCTTTGCTGTCAGTAAAACAATCTAGAATAACAACGACATTTCAGGCTGAAAAAACCAACCATTTTATTAATTTTGTTTACAAATTTGTCATTACGGTTTAATATATTCGAGATGTAATTGTAAGACATTAAAATTAGTTCTAGATGTGAATAAGTCTTCTATTAAAACGACTTGTCGTCCTAACTTGCCTTACTTCTTTTGAACACATAGATGTATTTTTGACAAATTATTTATATATAGATTTTCAATGGATTTTAAGGAGCACTGAGGATTATTGCATTATGAAATTTTCACTATATTGTGGTCAATATCCATTATTGCATCGCATTTTTACCGTTTCACAGCTGGATATCATACTTAACGTCATGACATTAATCGATATAAAATTTTATATTACAATCTGTAAACTACAGTTATATTATAAAGAAATTTGATATATTATTATTATTAATACAAAAAGCGCAGACACAGAAAACTTTTTCGATCTGATGGGACTTGAACCCATGACCACGCTGTACCCTAGCATTGCTCTATACCAACTGAGCTACAGGTCAAGTTATCGAGTTATTGAAATTCTCCTGTGTTTTTGTTAAAGATCTTTGTACTGGATTTTTCGGTGACATCTAGTGAGAGATTTTCGAACCTTCTCCGCAGCCCATCCCCGAAAATCCCCATCGGGTCGAAAAAGTTTTTCCATGTGTACGATCCTTCTTTAATAATCATAATAAAATCTAGTAGAACTAAATTTGATATATTTTTAAATCTGTCTCAGTGCTTACCTGGTTTATAATAGATATTTCAACCCGTTATGTAGTCTTAAGCCTTTATTATTAGCACAAATTCTTCGCCATATTTATGTAATAATTATTGAGTAGTACAGTAAGTAGGCTCGGGATGAAAAAAGTACAAGTTAGTATAAGTTAGGCTAAGAACGATCACGACTAGTCTCGACCGAAACATCGAACAATCTTTTAGGTTGGATAGACAGCTGTTAGCTCTTTACGTAGGCACCGATAACTGACAGTTACTAATCGACAGTTACAGTGAGTCGGTGAGCGCGGTGCTGGAAGAGTTACAGTCTACGTTGCAGTTATGTCACGGGGTAATTTTGACAAGTTTTTTATTTTATTGTTACCTATCAGAAGTCCGAAATGACATACCTAACTTCGAAAGTAATTTTGAGAGAAAAATCTTTTTTTCTTTTAAACCTAACTTAACCTAACCTAACCGAACCTAATCGTATCTTTGCGATAAACATCCAACATATCCTGAAAGAACAACGGTATCGTTATAATTCGGTTTTCGGGGTAATGAAAATTCGAACAAACGTTTTTTCGGAAAAAATCAATTCGAGTTTGTGATAGGTTACCCAAATTGCTTGTCTATTTGGCATTTTTTCTTTTTTTAAATGTTTAGCACGATTTAACCGGACCTGGCGGACGTAGCAAAATTTACTTCCATTTTTATTAACATTGACCTCATTGACTTACAATTATATGGACGTCGGGTCCGCGCTAAAAAGTGTCCG